ACTGTCAGAAATGTATTTATTTACATTTTTTTATAATCTCTCAAAATCACGTGGGAACAGTCAAGAGTTGACAATGTTTGCCTTTATGCCACAAGATATATTATGCACAAGGCCAACACAGCTTTTCACCCAGAAACCAGAGTACCTACAGAAGGCCGTACACAGTGGCGTACATACCAGGGTCGCAGGGGTCGCGGCTGCGACCGGGCCCGGCCCACCAGGGGGCCCGGCCGCCCCTGCGACCCGGTATGTACGCCCAGGGCCAGCCTCTTCCCCTGGGGGGCCCAGGAGCCGGCCACCCCAGGGCCCCCCTGAGGCTGGCCCTGCTGACCCCGGGTGGCCGGTCGGGCAGGCAGGCGGGCGCGCGAGGGAGCACTCAGTGCTTCCTCTTCAGCTCCCTCGCGCACCGCAATGATACCGGAGCCGGAAGATGATGTCATCTTCCGGCGCCGGCATCCCTATGCGGCGCGCGAGGGAGCTAAAGAGGAAGCACTGAGTGCTCCCTCGCGCGCCCGCCTGCCTGCCCGACCGGCCACCCGCCCAGGAGCCCAGCAGCACCACTGGACCCCAGGGAATAATCCCCCCCAGCACTCCAAGAGGTAAGGAGACTGGGGGGATTAAATTTAAAAAAAATGTGTTAGTGTGTGTGTGTGTGTGTTAGTGTGTGTGTTAGTGTGTGTGTTAGTGTGTGTTAGTGTGTGTGTTTGTTTGTGTTTGTGTGTGTGTCAGTGAGTGTGTCTGTTATTGGGTGTGTGTCTGCTAGTGAGTGTGTTACTGTGTGTGTGTGTTACTGAGTGTGTTTGATGTCTGTTAGTGAGTGTGTGTTTGTCAGTGAAAGTGTATGTTTTGTAAGTGAGTGTGTATGTATGTCTGTCACTGAGTGTGTCTCTATCAGTAAATGTGTGTGTCTGTTAGCTAGTGTGTATGCGTCTGTTCGTGAGAGTGTGTGTGTGTCTTCAGCACTTACCTTTCTCCAGCGTCGGACTCCCTTAGCGCTAAGGGGATCCCTCGCCTCTCAGCTCCGAATGCAAATGCGTGGCAAGAGGCGCGCGCGCGCATTTAAACCGCCCATAGGAAAGCATTACTCAATGCTTTCCTATGGCCGTTCAGTGTCTTCTCACTGTGATTTTCACAGTGAGAATCGCGGAAGCTCCTCTAGCAGCTGTCAATGAGACAGCCACCAGAGGCTGGATTAACCCTCAGTGAAACATAGCCGTTTCTCTGAAACGGCTATGTTTTCAGCTGCAGGGTTAAAACTAGAGGGACCTGGCACCCAGACCACTTCATTGAGCTGATGTGATCTGGGTGTCTGTAGTGGTCCTTTAAGTGTGTGTGCATACCGCGGTCGCGGGTCGCAGCCCTGCAACCCCTGCGACCAGGTGCCCACCGCCATGTGTTGCGGCCCCAACCCGCGCCGAGTAAGCGCGGGGGTGAGGGGGGGGGGCCCCACGGATCAATTTTCGCACCGGGGCCCCATGGGTCATGTGTACGCCACTGGCCGTACAGGTGGGTTGTCACGCAGTCCACTGAAATGTTTCGCTGGGGTGGGTAAGTATTTCAGGTCTCCAGGGCTTGAAATTGTTGATGTGTTCTATGCCTCCGCAATGGTTTTTAAGAGTCATAGAACACCATAATGGCGTTAAAAAATGCACGGTCTATGGTGCATTTTATTGGCTCACTTTTTAAAAATACTCCGCAACTGCATAGCATTTGCAAATATGGACACCATGGCGACTTTCACATGATATAAATTGAGTTTTACACAAGATCTAGCGCACCCACCTATCCACTAAACAGCAACTTCAATGTTGACAGATTTTATAAGTTTTTTTTGTTTGTTTTTTAAACATCTAGGCAAAAATAATGGGGGTTTAGTTACATTATATGATCATACATTGCATAAGCCTGCTGGATCTTGTGTATTGTATAAATTGGCCCCCAGCAGCACCCCATTTATGCATGTTCAGGTGAGTGCAGCCCCCTGGTTTCATATATATATGTATATATATAAATTTGGGAGTCTAGTCAACTCCTCGGTTTTGTACCCCTCCCTGTCACAGGTGCCAGGTTAGAGTAGGACCTGCCAAAGATGAGGTACATTGACGTTGTGGCAGGCTTATGCAATGTATGATCATATAATGTAACTAAACCCCCATTATTTTTGCCTACATTAGGTGTTTTTAAAAAAACAAATAAAATCTGTCAACATTGAAGTTGCTGTTTAGTGAATAGGTGAGTGCGCTGGATCTCGTGTATTGTATAAATTGGCCCCCAGCAGCACCCCATTTATGCATGTTTAGGCAAGTGCAGCCCCCTAGTTTCATCTATCTATCTATCTATCTATCTATCTATATATATAGAGAGAGAGAGAGATTGTAGCCATATTAGTCCAGTGAGGTAGATGTAAAAAACAGATAAAATTCGTATCTTGTAATACCTTTTTTATTGGACTAACAGAATTTCTTAATGACAAACTTTCGGGAGAACCTCCCTTTCTCAAGTCTGAACCATTTCTGAGCAAGACGACACATAGAATTCAAAGCTGAGTTGTGATACAGGGGTAAAGCGACATGAGTGTAGAAAAGACACAGGTTGGTTAGAAAATAGACACCATTTTTGCAGAGGGTCATAAATATTTATGACCCCAGTGGCGGATTCAGGGGGGGGGGGCAACAAGGCAATTGCCCTCCCCGAGATTCTCCCCTGCCGGCCAGTGCAGGGCTGGCATTGTCTAAGTGCCAGCCCTGCAATGTGCCTGCAGACCGGGGAGGGAGATCAGAGATCAGAAATCAGAGATCTCCCTCCCCGGTCCGCAGGCACTGTGCTGACAGCCGGCAGAGGGGGGAGGGAGAGAGGACCCGGGAGCTCAGCCTGCAGCTCCTCCGGGTCCTCCTCTTGCGAGCACGGAGCGTTGCTGTGGTTACCACAGCAACTCTCCAAATCTCACAAGAGTGAACTCTAGTCCTGGAGCTATGGGCTAGAGTTCACTCCTACCACTGGGACCACCAGGGACTAAGAAATGTCCCCCCTCCTCCCAGTAAAGGTAAGAAGGGAGGGGGGACATAAAGTATATTTATTTTATTAAATACATTTTTTTATATTATTATTAAAAAGCCTCCATACCCTCCTTCCTCCCCCATACAAACACTGCCCCCATACACACACTACACACACTGCCCCCATACACACACTACACACACTGCCCCACAAACACTGCCCCCCATACACACACTACACACACTGCCCCACAAAACACTGCCCAATACACACACACACTACACACACTGCCCCCATACACACTACACACACTGCCCCACAAACACTGCCCCCATACACACACTACACACACTGCCCACAAACACTGCCCCCCCATACACACACACAAACACACATACAGTGCCCCATACACACACACTGCCCTAAACACACATACACTGCAAGCCTCACACACACACACACACACACTGCCCCACACATACACTGCCCCCTAACACACACACTGCAACCCTGACATACACTGCCGCCCTCAACGCACTCGCACACACACTTCACCGCTCACACACACACACACTGCACCTTTCACACACTTCACCCCTAACACATACCACTGCTCCTATGCCCTATATCCCAGCAGACCCCAGGTAAGTTGTCAAACTGTTCTTAAACGGTTTGACTACTTACTCTGGGATGGAATCCTGGCACTACTGGCACCATAACTACTACACTGAGCTGTAGTGGTTATTGTGCCTGAATTATTTCTTTAAATAATCTACAAGTGCCCCTCCCGAGATCAGGCTCTGGATCCGCCACTGTATGACCCTCTGCAAAAATGGTGTCTATTTTCTAACCAACCAGATATTTATGACCCTCTGTAAAAATGGTGTCTATTATTAAAAGTACCCTTTTCATGGTGGAACCAGACCCAAAAGAACCCACACAGCTTCCTAAGCCTCACTGCAGACCATGGGCCGAAAATCTAAAAAGGCAAAAGCAGAGAAAGGCACTCACGGCAGAGACATCGGCGACATGCTGAGGAACACACAACAGGCCGTGTGGTCCAAAATGGCGGACGACCTCGCTTCATATTCCTCGGAGGAGTTTGACACAGGCCTCATGGAGGGAGCGAGCTTTGGTCCCACACCAGACCATAACAATACATGTAAAGAGCCTGGGGAACCGGTCACAGCAGACCAATTAAAGAAAATGCTGGCTGATCTGCGTAGGGACCTGGCGGCGGACATGGCCTACTATAGAGAGGCCATAGAAGGAGCCCAGTCTAAAATCTCGCGGCTGGAGGCCTGCTCGAGTACACAGGACTCCAGATTAGCCAAAGTGGAACAACAAATGGCAGATCTGACGAAGCAGCAGACCGCCACCACGGAACGGCTAGACGCCTTAGAATCCGAGGGATACCCGACTCAGTTGGCCACTCTGAGCTGCCCCACTACATCAGGCGGTTCCTGGGAGCCCTAATTCCACCTAAACAAATTAAATCCGTGAGATTAGACGAGATGTTCCGACTACCAAAGCAGGCAAGCGCTCCAGCAGCCGCACCTACAGACCTCATACTGCGCTTCCAATCCCTGTCGGACAAAGCTGCTGTCCTAGCTGCACTACGAAACAAGACACCTTTGCCGTTTGAGGGCACAACTCTAACAATCTTCCCAGATATTACCAAGAGTACCCTTACCTGGAGGAAATCAATGCAACCTCTCCTGCAACACCTCCAAGCCAAAGAGATGCCCTACCGATGGGGAACACCGCGAGCAGTATTCTTTACCCACAACGGGATAACTCACAAAGCGCAGTCCTTCCAAGAACTAGAGTCACTCCTCATAAGCATGGGCATAATCCCAGCAGCACCAACGAGAGGCACAGGACTGTCCCAGCTCGACCTAGCGAATGTACGGGAGTTCACCCCGAGGGAGACCCAGAAGGCATTGCCAAATAGACACCCCACCTGAGGCATTAAGGACAGCCCAAGCTATGGGGTTACTATTATTCCACCAAGAACATTCCTCACATAGTTTGAGACCGCTGCTAGAAGGTCTATCCGTTACATTTCCGATGTTTTATTTTCGTTGAAAGTTACAATTCTTATTTTTACTCTTACTCAAATGCAATCCTTGCTTAGCGACCTAGGGCTGCTCCACATCCATGAGACAGCTGACGGGACTAGCCACACACAAATAGGCCGACCACACAGAAGAACTCGACAAGTTCACACACATATAGGCTATCACAACTACAGCCATGCTCTACTAATCTGCTCACAGTCATAGTGGAGTAGCCTTTCTCCCTACTCCCCCTCCCCCCGGTCTTTCTCTACCGGTCAATGGTTGAGTCCAACCCAAAACACGCACACACAGCTATCGGGCTAGGGGGACCTATCCAACACAAATCTAGACTTACACTTAATTAACTCACTCACGTGGGGTACAAGTGATGTATACTGTTTTTGTTTATAAACCTGCAACCTAAACCATAAAAATGTGCAATGTACACTAATGCCCAGTATTGTCTTGAAATGTTGACATCTCGGCTGGTACATGCTGTTGTGGCATTGCCTGCTATTATCTCTTTTATGAGCACAATAAAATAAAGAATAAAAAAAAAAAAAAAATGGTGTCTATTTTCTAACCAACCTGTGTCTTATCTACACTCATGTCGCTTTAACCCCTGTATCACAAGTCAACTTTGAATTCCATGTGTTGTCTTGCTCAGAACTGCTTCAGACTTGAGAAAGGGAGGTTCTCCCGAAAGCTTGTCATTAAAAAAAATTCTGTTAGTCCAATAAAAAGGGTATTACAAAAATATGAATTTTATCTGTTTTTTACATCTATACAGATATATATATATATATATAGCGAGCTTTATTGAGGTAACATTTTTCACCATTTTCTTTCAAAATTTTATTAATATTTCTTTTATAATTTTGACATGCACATTAGAATTTGCTGCTTATTTTTTTAAATCTCATATTTGCCAAATTTTAGAAAGTGTACGACAATACCCCCTATGTATAACATTGCAATGTTTATGCAAAGATACAGGGCCAAAAGAGTTATCTGCAAAAGGGTCTATGTTTACAACACTAAAATTAACCCACATGGATTAACTTTAGAACCCTAATCGAGACCCCTATAGTGAAAACAATAGGGTTTGCCTTGTGTGTATAAGGAGCAGTAGTTATATTGTTGCAACATTAGATAGATTGGTGGACTGGGCACTCAAATGTCAGATAAAATTTATTTTGGGGAAAAAGTTTTGCACTTTGGGGTACAGAATGCACAAGCAACTTACACCCTAAATCAAGCATGTCAAACTCAAAGTCTAGAATGGGCCACATAAACAAGGTTTAAGTTCACGTGGGCCGCAAAAAAAAAAACCCTTACATTTTCATAGAAACGTAGGTTTATTTTGAAAAGTACAAAATAACCCCCCCAAGCATCCCCCTCTACTAAACCACAGCACCCCCTATGCTAAATCCTAGTCCCCCCCACTACATTCCAGCACCCCAACAAGCAGACTCCACTCATATTGCCACTGCCAGTATGCGACTGTATACCCCAAATGGCACAGTCCGCACCCTGTGCCAAATCTGATCCTCCCGCTACTTCTTGAAACCCTGTGAAGGTGGAGCACATCGATGTCACGTCGGAATGTGACGTGGCGTTGCGTGCCTCCATGCCCCTCCAGGTTCTCCATTCGCAGCCAATGCAACACTGACAAACACACACTCACTGACAGATGCACACTCACTGACAGACAATCACTGACAAACACACACACACTCACAGACAGACACACACACATACACATACACTTACTGACAGACACACATACAGACACACTCACTGGCAGACACACAGACACTCACTGACACACACACACTGACATACATACTCACTGACAGACACACACTCACTGACAGACACACACTGACACACACAGACGCACACACTCACTGACAGACACACAGACACTCACTGACAGACACACACACACACACTCACTGACACACACTCACTCACTGACAGACACACACACACACACACAGTGACAGACACACATACACACACACTGACACACACACACACACACATTTACACATTCTTGCACGCACATCATTTTCTTTATTGCACCCTACCTTTGGGAGCTGATGTGGGGCCTTCCCCCTGGGGTCCAGTGGGGATCTTCTATCTGCTCCTCACTGCTCCCTCGCGCGCAGTTTAGTGATGCCGGAATATGATGTTAGTGTTAATATTTGTTTGTGTGTGAAAAATGCAAAAAACTAATTTGAACACCAATTTTGGCCAATGTTTGTGACTAAGTGGCTACTAAAAAAGCAATACCTTGGGTTGTCTACTATTGCAAATGGTATGCCATCATAGGGGTAATTTTCATTCCTGGACTACCATACGGTCTCCAGAGCAACGTAACCAATCTGGCGAATTTCAATGTGAGAAAACCAAAAGGCAAGCCTTATATTTGACTCTGTAACTTTTGAAAACACCATAAAACCCGTACATGAGGGGTACTATAATACTCGGAAGACTTTGCTGAACACAAATATTAGTGTTTCAAAACAGTAAAACGTATCAAAACAATTATATCGTCAGTGTAAGTGCCATTTGTGTGTGAAAAATGCAAAAAATGTCACTTTCACTGACGATATCATCGTTGTAATACATTTACTGTTTTGAAACACTAATATTTGTGTTCAGCGAAGTCTTCCGAGTAAAACTGTACCCCCATATACAGGTTTTATGGTGTCTTGGAAAGTTACAGGGTTAAATATAGTGCTAGCAAATTAAATTCCCTGGACTTTCGGCCTGGGTTGTCAGGCAGGTCCCGCAAATTGTAATTAATAAAATGACCTAATTATGTAAAATGATTACATAAATATATTCATATAATTATTATGTATATACGTGTGTGTGTGTGTGTGTATATATATATATATATATATAATTTTTTCAGATATTTTATTAATATATAGGTATATATATATAGTGATATATACTTATGTATATAGATATATATTGTTTCGTTCTATGTGTATTTTGATATCAATATATATCATAATACAGTTAGAATGAAATTACACATATATATATATATATTTTTTTTAAATTTATTTATTTTAATTTTTTTTATTTTTTAACATATTTACATATTTATTTTATATATTTAATCATACGTGTATTTTAATATTAATATATATATAATTATATATAGTGTATGTGTGTATATATATAATCTAAGTATATATTGTTTTATTAACTGTGTTTTTACTTTTTTACAGTTTTACACTTTTTTACTCCCCCTGCTGGCACTGCTATGGATGGCTATGCTGTCCATGTGATTGTGAGGTCCTCGCAAGGACCTCGCGATCACATTGCCCAGGAGGGCTGGAACCGCTGCAGGAGGACTCCCTGGGATGCTAGGTGAGTCTCCCCACCACGATAGCCATTTAGAGCCGTATCCCCAAGGACGGCATTGCACGCCCGCCTTCCTTAAGGGGTTAAGGGGTTAATAAGAGTTCCTCTATTTAAAAACATATAAATAATTGAGAACAAAATAAAAATATGGATTGTCTTAGAAGCAATAAAGGTTTGTCTTTTAAAATATTTTATTTAATAGAAATAGAAATATAGACAGATAATAATTGAATAATCTATTATATTTAATAATTTACAACAGAGTTATAAGATTTAAGTATATACTTGAAATATCAGTAAAATGGAATAATATACCCTCTTGAACAAGTCAACCTCTCAGTCTTGATAAAATTGAGCAGCGTCTCTTCATCCAAAATACTTTATACTCTAGATTTTCAATTAGGTTATGTTAGCTTGACCATTAAATGACATAGCCTTGACATGGTCATTTATCATTGGTATATCTTAATCAGGCTATTCAACCTAGACATCTTATCTATGTTTTTACAAAAACGTAAGGTTGGACATATCATGGGCAATGCCCTGATCTGGTGTCACACTAACCTAGGAAAAGGTGGCATCTAAAAGTCTAAAAATCATATTCACTGACTCTTGGTAAGAGGTAATGGTATGTAAAGAAACATTGTATGAGAATCCATATGTTCTATTTCTAGCAACTTTGCAAAATCTTTTAAAGACAAAGTATACAGTTTTAAGAAATACAACTTTTCATGCTAAAGTCTTTTTTGTCCATAACAGGGGTGACCATGTGAGGAGGCTCTGTTTTACTGACCAGCCTCCCCACACTGCAATACCTTTTAAAAAAATAAATAATAATTAATACGCAGGTGGTAATCCGTTCTGCAGCTCCATTGAGTGCAGAGCGGCAGACCATGTGGTTGTCTTGTGAGCATCAGCACTTGAAGTGTCAGAGCGTTGCCACCGCAACCCACTGCACCGCTCTGATTGGCAGGAGATTGGGAAACACCTACTGCACTGTCCGCAACTCTGCACCCGGTGGAGCTCCAGGCCGGAGGAGCTGGGCTCTCTCCTCTGGTCAAACAGGGGAATGCACTAGGTGTCACATAGGTCAAGGTGCCAGGCCCCTCCCGGTGTCAGGCCCTTGGTCATGGACCAAGGACCTGACTGATCAGTCTGCCCTAAGGTGAATGAAGCAGTTGCAAGGCTCCAGAGAGCGCAGGGCCACCTAACTCGCCTAATTAGAGAGTAGCCTTTGCTAACTGTAATGCTAAACCTTTACATTAACACTAACGGGGTTCAGGTCAGGCGAGTTTGCTGGCCAATAAAG